GATGTGCAAACAAGAGGAAATTGGATAACGATGATATCTCAGACATTATTCCTGATAAGAAGCCTAAAAATGTGGTCGGTGATATAATCAACCGTAGACAAGGGGTAAAGGCGAAAAGGAGATTGAGAACATTAGATGATAAGGGGGACACTCATTCAAGTGATATGAGTGAACCATTAGATATCACAACAACAAATTCTAGAAAGAGAATTTTGGATACAGAGATAGAAGAGGAAGATAGCAACGATCTCGGTAATAAGAAACTCAAATTCACCTAATTTTCATAAGGATTAAAAGAAAAAGTCAGTATACGAGAGAGTTTCCTACAGTTCAGATGGCTCGCAAGAGATCCAAAGGGAATACTAAACGTAGGAATAATAAAAAGAGGAATATCAAGAAGAAACTAATAAAAAAGGGGGTATGCTTCGCCAAAGCAATCGGACAAATTAAAAAGCATATCATCTCCCAAAAACCTGAGACTGTAGGTGATGCAGTCAAGGTTGCTTTGAGGTCAACGAAAAAACTCAACATCAAACCAACACGTATTGTTAAAATTCCAAAGAGGGGTGGCTTGTTACCCTTGATTCCGATTTTCGCGGGATTGAGTGCTCTCGGGGCAATCACAGGTGGCGCTGCAGGTGTAGCTAAGGCTGTCACTGATGCCAGATCAGCAAAAAATCAATTGGAAGAATCCCAACGACATAATAAAACAATGGAAGCTATTGCAATGGGAAAAGGAATGTATTTGAGACCATATAAAACTGGTTTGGGACTTTTTTTGAGATAACCATCCTAGTATTATCCTGATATCAACAAGATGAGGATGAATAAACATAGGGAATCTCGTAAGAGGATACCACTCAATTTCCCACTATCCAATTTGGATATTCTGAAGTACGTTAAAGAACTCAACATTCCCCATTTTAGGGGTGTATTTATGAGAAATGATCTTCCCAAGAGAATCAGAAGGAAAGAACGTGGCGTGATAAACTTGGATAACAAAGATGGACCGGGGACGCATTGGACCGCCTACAAAAAAATTGGATCACAAATCGTCTATTTTGATAGCTATGGTAATCTGCGACCACCACTGGAAACGTTAGATTACTTTAATTCCAATGGACCTTGTAATATTTTATATAATCACACTGTATATCAAACTTTCAATTCTGTGAATTGCGGTCAGTTATGTTTGAAATTTCTCTCTCAATAAAATATAAGCGTAATTTATCTCATTCTTTCAATGACTCTATCACTATCATGACGTGTTCATATACTTTCACCTTATCAGCCAGAGATTCTGTATTATCAGCTAAAATCCATCCACCTATCATTTTAGATGATGATAAAACCCATGTCTCAGGTCTGATTGACTTCGTGACCTACAACACTATCCCCAATATTGATGGGAGAAATAACAGATTCTATGTTGGCAAACACACATTGGTTATTCCTGAAGGTTCCTATGAAATTGAAGACATTGAACGGAATATTATGATGCAATTGGATGAATTGCATGAAAAAAATAGAGAGAAGGAGGGAAAAAAAGCTCAAATTTCGAATACTATTATGAAAGAAGAGGAGAAAACTACCGAGATTCAGCTCAAATTGAATGCTAATCGTAATACTCTAAGGTATGAGATAACATGCAACAAACTCATACACTTTGATAAACCTAACTCGATAGCAACTCTGTTAGGTTTCAGCAAGAGGAAATTGGAAGCTAATAAAAAACATATATCAGATTTTCCAATTGATATTTCCAAGGTGAATTCAGTGTGTGTTGAATGTAATTTAACAACAAATTCATATAATAATAACTCTTCCGTTCACACATTGCACATGTTCTATCCATCAGTGCCTAGTGGATTTCGAATAGTGGAGAAAGTGTCAAATGTCATTTATCTACCAATCAATTCCAAATACATTGATGAAATAACTCTCAGAGTAGTAGATCAAACTGGAACCTTAATTAATTTCCAAAAGGAAGTCATAACAGTCAGGTTGCACTTGAAAGAGCTCTAGTGGATATGGTGTTTCGCTATAATATTCCAATGTCATCATCAACAATGGGTCAGGAAACGCGTTCTCCATCAATCAAAAGTATCAGTCCGAAAGGTGACATCAAACAGTTAACACCTGAGAATCAACAGTTCCTCATTTCACTCGGTTTCAAATTATTATAAAAGACAAAACGAAGACTTTTTACGAATTTTGGTATAACCTAAAATTGGACATCCACTCTGGTCTTAGAAGATTTCTCATTCTCCTAAGGTGTTCCTGTGGGAGAGAAAGTGAAACACAACAAACATGAGTTTCAATATTTTGAATATTGGTGAACATGTGATGATGGACAATGCGATAACGAATTGCGAAATGCACTCTCATCCACCATATGCCAATACAAGCCTAAATAAGTCATTCGAGATACGTGTTCCGATTCAAACGCAGGATATTTACACATTACCATCACAAAGTTACATTTATCTAGAAGGTAGAATTACTGACAGTGAAGAAAAGTGAGTGCTACACTGAACTTCATCAACAATGGTATTGCTTTTCTATTTGATGAAATCCGATATGAAATTGGTGGGTCCGTTGTGGATCGAGTTCGTAATCCTGGAATCACATCAGCTATGAAGGGCTACATTTCTCATACAAATAATGAATGCAATAGATATATAAATGCTGGTTGGAATCATCTTGGTCATCCGGAAATTGTTGATCTTCAAGGGAACTTTAGCGTTTGTCTACCACTCAAACATCTATTGGGATTTTGCGAAGATTTCAAGAAAATTCTGGTGAATATTCGGCAAGAACTTGTTCTCATCAGAAGTAGCAATGACATCAATCCTACGATAACCTCCAAGGCTGGAGAAGAACCAAAAATTGAATTGACGAAAATTCTATGGCGCATTCCACACGTTCAAACGGCAGATGTGGAGAAATTGCGGTTAATCAAGTATATTGAAAAGGGAAGAGATTTAGAGATAGCCTTCCGTTCCTGGGAACTCCACGAATTCCCCATGTTACAATCAACTATGCGTCACTCATGGAATGTCAAAGCATCTAGTCAAATGGAAAAACCGAGATTTGTTATTGTTGGTTTCCAAACAAACAGAAAAAATGACAGTCAAAAAAATATGAGTCAATTCGATCACTGTAATCTCGCCAATATGAAACTTTACCTGAACTCTGAAGTGTATCCCTATGACAATTTGAATCTAAATTTCAATAAATATCAATTTTCTGTTATATATGAGATGTATGCACGATTTCAAGAGTCATATTACTACAAAAACTCTGGTGAACCTTGTCTAACACTATCTAAATTCCATGACATAGCACCATTAATTGTAATAGATTGTAGTCGACAAAACGAAACTTTAAAGGCAGGTAGTGTGGATATTCGCCTTGAGTTTGAAACAAATCAAAATATTCCTGCAAACACTTCTGCCTATTGTCTAATATTACATGATCGTTTAGTAAGGTACAACCCTCTCACTAATGTAATAAAAATATTGTAGTGTAGTTGTATGTTCTCCCAACAAAAATCATATACCGTGTTGTATTATAGTTAATAAATAAATATCGACCTATCCCACTGTTTCGGATTCATTTCATGATCATAAACCCAAACAAATAATAGCTATTCTGATAATGAAATCACATAGCCTATACCAATAAACAAATCACAATCTTTATGAGTTATCATTAGTCTCACTTACCAATCAATTTTCATTTTTTCCACTGCACAATTCACCTGATGTTGAAGCATAATAAAATCACAGTTTTTATACTATCCCAGGATGATGGATCAACAAATATTTTGTAAAAATATCTGCACATGACTACTTTGTCAGCATGACATTGAAAAAATATAATATGAAGCTGGATAAACATAATATTAATGATTGCACTCATATCAAACAAAACATGATAAAAGTGTTGACCTCTAGGTCAGCTAGCAAGATATTGGAACTTTAATTATACAGGGATATTCAGTAGGACTAACTTGGAAAATGTAACCGAGGGGAAGATCAGGTAAACAGGTGAAACAGGTAAAATGAAAGAAACAGGTGATACAGGTGAAAGAGGTAATACAGGGGGACACGTTGAGAAGATGAAACCAGTAAATTAGGCAAAACAGGTGATTTGAGCGAAAAACAATTAATTAAGTAGGTGACACAGGGAAGACAGGTAGGAAAAAACAGGTGACAAGGTAAATCTTCGGTGACAACACCTCCTGGTCATTGTCGACACTTCTGCACCTCGGAATGTCTGCACAAACCACAACTAGACCCCCCTATTGGCTGTGACAGCTTGAGAACTTGATGGACAGCTTACCAAACGGTCGCAGGACCGCCCCTGATACACTACTTTCGTTCATTTTAGGGTTGTTCGTTTGCACTTGAGAATCAGTATTAAAGTCAGGTCGAAGTGAATACTAGGTGGAAAGTCATGTCATTAAAAAGGCGTGTGTCATATGTCAAGTGTCACCAAACCACGTGGGGTGAATCCTATTTTCTCATTGGCTAGAGGTTGGAAAGAATGGATGGCCTGTGATTGGCTAAGAGCTCATCTTGTGCTCACGCATGAGCGGTGTTGTTGCGCAGAAAGCATAGTTGGCTCTGATTGTTTTTTTCAAATAGGTTTCACTATGATGTGATTTTGTTTTTTCCACGAGGAGAACTTTCTGGGAAGGGATCGTTCCTTTTCCGTTTGCTTGATCGACGCCATCATGTCAGCGAAAAGCGCATTTTCGATTTTGTACTGCAAGGTGGTGAAACACCAATTTAAATTGTTTTCCGGGTGTGAAGCCGATCCCCCGTGGAAGGTGAGTCTTTTAAAGAACTGGTGGTAGATTCTTGGCATGCCACAGGGTCAATTTCTATTATAGATCTGCCGGCTTCCACTTGGCCCCTTTTATTCTGGTAATGGCCGATGGTCATTAGCAAATATGGACTGCTGGTCACCAGAAGATACCGCCTGCTGCTTACTGACTGCCCATGACTCCGACAATATTGACCTGATTCCCGACATCTGTCCTGACTTCTGTTTCGACACTGGAGTGCCCCCAGAGTCCACGTGGTCTTTAGGGTCTATAGGACCTCCCAAGCCTGAGTACTCCCAGGTCAGAGAGAGAAGTACCCCCAGGAAGCTGCAGGCAGTCTCTAGCCTCCAACACAGGCTGCTGAAGGTAGCACCTGCTAGGAGACCTCGAGAGTTCCTGGAGTTCTGAGGTGCTGGAGGCCACTCCACACTCCACAGTAATGGGTGAGCTCCATCCAAAAAGGATTTTCTTTTTATTTTTGAAGTATTGATCACCAATAGTAGTGCCAATCACCTAATTTAGTTTTAAACTTTAAACTTTGAACATGTGAATTGGGTTTTTTTCTCATATATCTAGTCTCATATCTAGCAATGATGTCAATTTTTTAAAGTTGGTCTGGTTCAGAGTATAAATGACCATCAGGGTTGTAAGACACAACGCTCCCTGTAAACCTATATGCAGCTGCACATGGTAAATGTTGAGTCCCCCTGAACATCTGAAACTAATAGTCTTTGTCAGGTTGTAACATAAACCTACTTACATATTTTAACACCTTAGGGTTAGGAATTTAGAAGGTACCACATTTTTTTACTAAACCATCATTGAATAAACTAGTTGACTGAAATTCACTGTTTTGATTTCTTATTTTTCTCTACACCAAATTTAAGTGGCGCCCCTTTCAAAAAAAAAAAAAAAACTGTTTGATGATTATCTGACCAACCCACGTCCCAGCTCTCCAGACACATTGGCTGCCGTTTCCTTGACAACACCATTTTGCTGTTCTTGGTATTTATTTTGGGGTAAGTCTCTAGAAAATGCAAAAGGTGGTGACATCATAATTATCATTATTATCATTATTATCATTATTATCATTATTATCATTTTTATCATTATCATCATTATTATCATTATTATCATTATTATCATTATTATCATTATTATCATTATTATCATTATTATCATTATTATCATTATTATCATTATTATCATTATTATCATTATTATCATTATTATCATTATTATCATTATTATCATTATTATCATTATTATCATTATTATCATTATTATCATTATTATCATTATTATCATTATTATCATTATTATCATTATTATCATTATTATCATTATTATCATTATTATCATTATTATCATTATTATCATTATTATCATTATTATCATTATTATCATTATTATCATTATTATCATTATTATCATTATTTTTTTTTATTAGGCAGCATTCGATTGCTGAGATCATTTAGCTGCCATTTTCAACTTTATTTCATTGGTGATATCCAGCTGTTCAAGGTAGGTAAGTGATTTTTCAATCGTTTCTTTATGTTTCACCATATTTTTTATTTCAGGGTCTACTCCGTAGTTATTCCTCAGCTGGGTGAAATTTGGGCATGAGAATATATGAGATACGGAAAGTCTGGTATCGCAGTGGTCACATCGTAAACGGGGGTTTCCAACTAAGAGGTGGGAGTGAGTGAGGTGAGAGTGTCCTATTCTCAGGCGACAGGTGATAACTTGTTCTTTCCTATTCAGGGTTTCGGGGTAAGTCCATTTCTTTATTTCGGGTTCCATGTAAGTCAAATGAGTATCTTGTGTTGACAATCTATCTTGCCATGTTTCGTTGATTATCTCCCTAATCGCTATTTTTATATCCACAGATGGAACAGGAATGCATATGTCTTCTGTGGAGAGGGTTGCACGTTTTGCTGCCACGTGTGCCTTTTCGTTGCCTGCGATATTGCAGTGGCTGGGGACCCATAGGAGGGTGCACTCCTTTTCTTCGGATATAAGGTGAGTAACTAATTCTAGGACTCTGAGGCTATATACATTTTTTGTGAATTTATTGTTTAGTGCGTTGATGGCACCTAATGAGTAGGAACATATTACGCAGTGTTGATTCCTAGAGAAGGAAAAATATAAGAGGGCTTGCCATATGGCATATATTTCTGCGGTGAATATCGAGCAGTGAGAGTTTGAGGACCAGCTATATTCCTCTTTGCCTATCGCCATAGCTGCGCCAACTTTGTCACTCGTTTTTGAACCATCTGTAAAAATGATGAGGCTATTTCGAAAAGTTTCCAGTTCCGACAATACCAGGGTCCTGTAGGTCGAAGCGGATGTGTCACCCTTCTTTCATAATGCGATGTCAGTGTTTATATTTGGGTTAGTGAGTTGCCAAGGGGGAAAGAGTGGCACGTTTTCGCATAATGTTGTATATTCATCAATTGAGTATTTCCTTCAGGCTTCCAAGTTTCGAATTCGCGTTGGTCTGGATATCGTCGGTCTATGGGAATATTCATCATCGCCTGAGAAAATAGAGAAGTTGATATGCGATTGTCGAGAAGCGATTAGGGAAGAGTATGGAATAGTTTGGAGATCTCTCCTCAAGTCGAGGGGAAACGTAGATGTATCGCATAGTATTGAGGCTGCGGGACTAGTACGGAAGGCACCTGTAGCCAATCTTAGGGCTGTCAGTTGGAGAATGTCCAACTGTTCAAGTCTTGAGGGTCTGCAGGAATTGAAAACGATAGCTTCGTAATCTAGTCGACTTTGAATGAGTGACTTGTAGAGGCTCAGAAGGATGTCCCTATCTGCACCCCATCTGATATTTGACATGCACCTGATTATTTTCGAAGCTTGCTTGCATTTCGTCATTAAGTGGTTGATTTGTTCTGCCCAATAGAGTTTTTTTCATCGAAGATGATACCTAGAAACTTGATCGAATCCTCGATCGTCAATTGATGTCCTCGAATGAAGAGTTCTGGATCTGGATGGGCTGATCTCAATCTGCAGAAATGAATACAGTTGGTTTTTTCTCTTGAGAAAAGAAAACCTCGTCTCTTCGCTGACTGGTCCAGGAAGTCTATCTCATTGTTCATGGCTTCATTTATCACGTCTATCAGTTTGTGGCTATAGAGAATAATCAAGTCATCTACACAGAGCACTTTCTTGATGTTATTTTCTCTTTCCTCAAGAAGGAAATTGATAGCGATTGCGAACAGAGATATACTCAGGACATATCCTTGAGGAATCCCATTTTCTAGTTCTCTCATGGAGGACTCTATGGATCCTAAACGAACAAGAACGGATCTGTCGTCTGGGAAGCTCTTGATAAAATATGACATTTTACCTTTTAGTCCCCAGGTGTGCAGTTGTTTCATGATAGAATAGCGCCAGGTTCTGTCATAAGCTCTTTTAAGGTGGAAACCAACTGCTACTAGGTGTTCTCTATTGAAAAATGAGTTCTGAATTTCTTTCTTTATGAATACCAGGGCATCTGTTGAAAAATGCTTGCTGCGGCAACCGACCTGGGATTGGGACAGAAAGTAGTTTGATTCCATCCACCAAGAAAGCCTCGAGTTGATAATTTCCTCTAACAATTTCCCCAGGCAACTTGTAAGATAGATTGGACGGTAATTGTTTGGATCCAAAGGTGATTTTCCAGGTTTCAGTACTGGGATGATTGTGGCAATTTTCCAGTGTTTCGGATAGACTCCTGATTCCCATATAGAATTGAACAAGTTGAGGAGTTTTGGTTTCTCATTCACAGGTAAGTTCTTGAGCATACAATACAAGATATTATCATGACCAGCTGCGGCCTCAGCACTATTTTCGAGGGCAAATTCCAGTTTTTCAATTATGATAGCATCATTGTAGCTCAGATTGAAATCTGTATCGAAATCAAGTACATACCCTTCATCATTCATTTTCGTATCTAAAAACTGTGAATCGTGATTGGTTGAACTGCTTGCCTTTGCAAAATGATTAGCGAATGATTCGCATACTTCTGTTGGGTCGGTTATTATATCATAGAGCACTCGCAATGCCGCATTGTGTCTTTGAATACAGGGCAAGACTGCATACACCGTGCAAGAAGACAGCAGGTGCATAATTGTCCCAGGCGTCCTGCGGCAGGCCCTGCAATTTGTGTCAGGGACCCCTATACCTATGACAGGGCTACGGTAGATGGGCGTGTTGGAAACCCTTTCGTGACATACCATAATGAGCCCCTCTGTTTCCGATTTGAGCCCGCCTGACTTGAAAAAAGCAAAAGTCAATTCTTTAGATAAGCCCCGGTCTTCAATGGTCTTGAAATGGACCGAATGTATGGGCTCATCCATGTAAAGCTGCGGGAGCTTTCTCACTTCAGCAGCTTTGATGCATGCCTTTTTTTGAGCGGGCTCTAGCTCAGTTACTGAGTCCTGAGCCTCGCGCTCGGAGTCAAAAATCAGATACAATTCATCGGCTGCTCGACGTGCTGCCCTCGAAAGAGAAGTTCCTACTCCTGCTTCTTCATGGGTTTCAATCATTTGCAGAAGGGGATCCGAATTCCTGATGACTGGATCAGATCTGGTCATCAGAACTGTCGGGAAAGAACAAAGTCGCTGCTACTAACATGCTTGCTGTTCCGATCCTACTTCACTCATTTGGAGTAATAAAGTGGACTCAAGTCGAGCTGCGACAACTTGACGTAAGTACTCGCAAGATGATGAATCATCATAGGAGTCTGCATCCAAATTCGTCCGTTCCACGGTTATACATACCTAGAGACAGAGTTGCCGTGGACTCTTGAGCTCGAAGTATCTCCATAACAAAATGGTTCTGGATGACGCCTCATCACTTTATATGAATCGAAACAGCGAGCATGTTGGTCGCAGCGAATTCGCTGTTTTCCGAAAGTTCTGCCCCAGACAACACTGGATATTCATAGAATATTCTCTAAATATGCTAAAAAGGAGGAGTATATTCCGAATATCCATCGATTATTCCTAGAATATGAACATGCTTCTGGAACAACTAAAAGGAATATTCCAACGTGAATAGTCGGACATGTTCAGGGAATATTCAGGTATGAATCTTCCAGGAATATTCCCAACTGAATTTTCTCTGTTGTATATTCATGAAATATACCCAACTGAATATTCTGTGCGGTATATTCATGAAATATACCCAACTGAATATTCTGTGCGGTATATTCATGAAATATTCTCAACTGAATATTCTGTGGTGTATATTCATGAAATATTCCATGAATATCCCTGTTTCTCAACACATAAATACCATTTATTATTTCAGAGATGTGAGTATCGAACATCAATTTAATGTAAGGGGATTTTGAAACAAAAAGTGTTTATGATCCGATTTCGAACAATGCTCTCACAAGAACTTGATATGTATAACATCATCCAATTCGATTACTGGCCTAGTGGTCAAGGCGTTGCTCTGATAGTCTTGAGGTCACGAGTTCGATACCTACTTGGGTCACTTTTTTTTATCTCAGAATATGTTCATTATAATATTCCAGGAACATTCAACATAGAATATTCTTTTGGGTAT